GTGGTGGGGCTTGGTGGTGGTGGTCTTGGTGGTTGTGGTGGTGGGGCTTGGTGGTGGTGGTCTTGGTGGTTGTGGTGGTGGGCTTGGTGGTGGTGGTCTTGGTGGTTGTGGTGGTGGGCTTGGTGGTAGTGGTCTTGGTGGTTGTGGTTGTGGGCTTGGTGGTAGTGGTCTTGGTGGTGGTTGTGGTTGTGGGCTTGGTGGTGGTGGTCTTGGTGGTGGTTGTGGTGGGCTTGGTGGTAGTGGTCTTGGTGGTGGTTGTGGTGGGCTTGGTGGTAGTGGTCTTGGTGGTGGTTGTGGTGGTGGGCTTGGTGGTAGTAGTCTTGGTGGTTGTTGTTGTGGTTGGCTCTGTAGTGGTGGTTTCCCTAGTAGTTGTTGTTGAGGTGGTAGTTGTTGTTGAGGTCGCCTCCTCGGTAGTAGTGGTAGTCGTCGAGGTCGGCTGTTCGGTTGTACTAGTAGTCGTCGAGGTCGCCTCCTCGGTTGTAGTAGTAGTGGTAGTCGTCGCCTCCTCGGTCGTAGTGGTGGTGGTGGTGGTTGAGGTTGGCTCCTCAGTTGTAGTAGTAGTAGTCGGCTCTTCTGTAGTAGTAGTAGTAGTCGTCGCCTCCTCGGTCGTAGTAGTGGTGGTGGTAGTAGTCGTCGCCTCCTCGGTCGTAGTGGTGGTAGTGGTGGTAGTAGTCGTCGCCTCCTCGGTCGTAGTGGTGGTAGTGGTAGTCGGCTCTTCTGTAGTAGTGGTGGTAGTGGTTGTCGGCTCTTCTGTAGTAGTGGTAGTAGTGGTAGTCGGCTCTTCTGTAGTAGTGGTGGTAGTGGTAGTCGGCTCTTCTGTAGTAGTGGTGGTAGTGGTAGTCGGCTCTTCTGTAGTAGTGGTGGTAGTAGTAGTCGTCGCCTCCTCGGTCGTAGTGGTGGTGGTGGTAGTCGTCGCCTCCTCAGTAGTGGTGGTAGTGGTAGTCGGCTCTTCTGTAGTAGTGGTAGTAGTGGTAGTCGGCTCTTCTGTAGTAGTGGTGGTAGTGGTAGTCGTCGCCTCTGCAGTAGTGGTGGTAGTGGTAGTCGGCTCTTCTGTAGTAGTGGTGGTAGTGGTAGTCGGCTCTTCTGTAGTAGTGGTGGTGGTAGTGGTAGTCGGCTCTTCTGTAGTAGTGGTGGTGGTAGTGGTAGTCGGCTCTTCTGTAGTAGTTGTAGTAGTAGTCGTCGCCTCCTCGGTCGTAGTGGTGGTGGTGGTAGTGGTTGTCGGCTCTTCTGTAGTAGTGGTGGTAGTGGTTGTCGGCTCTTCTGTAGTAGTGGTGGTAGTGGTTGTCGGCTCTTCTGTAGTAGTAGTGGTGGTGGTAGTGGTAGTCGGCTCTTCTGTAGTCGTAGTGGTGGTGGTGGTAGTGGAGGTCGGCTCCTCAGTAGTGGTGGTAGTGGTAGTCGGCTCTTCTGTAGTAGTGGTG